TGATGGGGGTCGGTTCGGGACGAGTGATCTCCGACCCGGAGTGGCACGCGCCTTCCTCGCTGGACAAGGGAAGGAATAGCGAGGCGGAAGGAAGACAGCAGCAGTCGATGAGTCAAGGGGCGAGGCTTGCGTCGTCGGGATCGAGGCCTCAGGGAGGGAGGCGCACGGCGGCACCAGCTGTTCCCGACATGGCAAGCCGATATGCGTGTGACCCAGTCGGACGACCGCCTCCAAATAGAGGGATTGGGGGCGGGCGGCCGGAGTGCTTTCCGATTTGCGATTGCCCACCAACACTAAGCTTGACGGCGCTGGCACACAGGCCGACTGCAAGAACCAAAAACCACAAGCCTCACCAGCACTCAAATCAGCGAGACATTCATATGGGCAACATCCGTCTATGGAGTACGAACCTGGGAGTGGATGTCATGTCTTGCCGCTTGCCTACGCTCAAAGCCGTCTCTATCAAGCTCGCCGTCACGTCGCTGTTCAGAGGCGACCTGAACACCAGGCTGGGGGTCCCCGTAGAAGATACCCTGTCGCGAAAGGGGCAGCAAACATCAACGAGCGCCGCTGCTACATATATATATTGTTAGGGATTTGTGGAAAGGGACGCGGGCGTCTACCCCGCTGCTGGTGTTGCTGTTGCAACGAACGGCGTTTCTGTTGGCAGAGGCACACCCTCCACCATGTCATTAAGAAATAGACTCTCTCAGGTTACAAAACCTAGCATCAGGTCGTTCCCCCTGCCTTTTTCAGCGCCTCTCCGGCTACAAGTTTTTCGGTTCGGTCAACAAGAACTTCTCTTTTTTAGGACGCGTGCTAACTCGTCACTCCTACTCATCGCTTGCCCTCCCTTAGATCGCTAGACAAAGGGGTGCGATTGGTGCTGACCTAGCTTATTTGCGTGTGCAATAGAGGAGCGTACGCGTAATCATGGAGAGGCCCAGAGCCAACAAGACGCTTCTGAGTCCCGACAAGCACACATACTGCCATGGTGCCAGATAAGGGTTCACACACAAGTAAAATCGCGCGTTATGCACTCACCGACATGCACAACGTTTATTCTCGCACATAAGCAGCCGCCCCCTTCCCAACCTCCGCACTCTCGGTCTCAACCACTCACCGTCCTCCCCCCCGCAACCTCTGTCAACATCATCACCTCACGCAACAAAAAACGAACACTTCGGTGATCGAAGACATCTGATACGCCACACACCAGACCGCACCTATTCCCTCCACCCCCATCAGGGTCTCGCTCTTCTAGCGTCCAGCCCTCGAACTTCATTCTCGCCGGTGTCGGGGGGTTGGAGCTGGACCCTCCCCACGGCGACATCCTCCCCCCCCCGGTCAAAGGCGTGTCCGCCGCCCCAGCCCCGCCCGAGCTCTTCGAGGGGATTCTTTCATGTACCCGCCCGATCCCGACCCCGCAACTCCTCGTCCGCTGCTGCCGGCGGCTGCTCGAGCGCGAAAGCGCAGCCTCCGCCGTCGAAGACGGCGGCGGTGACCAGTTGCTCGACACGGACGACCGCCGGCCGCCGCCACCACCGCCGCCGCCGTCACCACTGCGGCTGCCACCGCTGGAGAGCGAGGAGTTCTTGGCGAGGAGCGCCTCGAGAGACCAAGGGGCGGCCGCAGCCGCATCGCCTCCGCTGCTGCTTCTCTCGCTTTGGTCCTGCTGCTGCTGCTGCTGCTGCTGCTGCTGCTGCGGTTGTGCCCGCCGGAGCATCTCTCGGGCTCCCTGAAGGCACCCACGTTTCGGCAGTTCCGAAAACACGTGAAGGGAAAGGAAGATACAGAAGAGGTCAACAGTTGCCGGTCACGACGAAAACAGGGGGGGAAAAAAGAAGCAGATTTATCGCTACCGAGCGCCCCCACAGCTCCCTCGGGATGACCACTGGCATTCAACACCACCAACTTTGAGATCGCTGACAGCTCCACGAAGAATAGAACCGAACATGTCTGACGGCCTTCTAAGATGAAGGAACCAAAAAGATAAGATGTGCTCTCACCTCGGTAATCTCCCAGTCCGCCAAACCTGGACTCGCCGGGGTCGGGGGCGATCCCGGTTCTTCTTCATCTTCTTCTTCCCCGCTCTCCTCAGGCACGGCCAAGGTAGTAGTAGCGCGGGCGGGCGTGGAAACGACCCCCGTGCCGCTAGTAGCACCTTCGGCGGCGGCCACCGCTCCGTCGGCAGTAGCGTCCTCCACCTCCTCTTCCTCCTCCTCCGCTTCCGCCTCTCCGCCGGTGGCCGCCTTGGTCACACCGCCGGCCTTGAGGCCGTCTCCGCTCTCCGCATCTCCTTCTTTCTCGGTCCCGGCGGCAGCACCGGAGCCGGCGGTCGCCGCCCCATCCCCGACAGCAACGAAACCGCCGCCGCCTCCGCCGCCGCCGCCCCTGGCTTCACACTGATGGGGCCTGCTCTTGTGGCAGCCATTGGCCGCCGGTCTGACGCCGGTCTTGGCACCGGTGGGCAAGCGGGCGACGCTAGGCACCCCCGGGGGGGTGGCGGTAGCGGCAGCAGTGTTTGTGTCGAGGGCGACACGAGCGGGACGCACGTACCCGTACTGGAAACCCGTATCGGCAGTAACGGGGGACGGGAGGGGGGGGGCGTACTCTTATGTTTTGCATGTCTTAGCGGTTAGACCATTGACCACGCGTCCTCGAGAGGACGGAGCATTGTTCCCACAGGACCGATCACCGATGGCCAATCGTTCCTTTCTACTTTGCCAAAGGTGGCTCAAAAATGTCTTCCC